GCGCCAACCGACCGATATGCGGAGGATATGAAGGCTTTGATGTAGGCGTCCCATTACATATCACACCGCTCCGGCAAGGTCTGACCTGACCCACATATAGAGATACAGTGTGGAAGCTTGCTTTGATGATACCCTTGCTCCCTTGGGTCGTCAAACTCATTCCCTTCCCCTCCCTGCGGCGACGTATGATCAATCTCACCCCATTGCCAGCCTTGCATCGAATCCGGGATATCGTTGACTTCATGGATGCGGCCGCAGCGCAAGTCGTCACGGATCAAAGGACTGCAACTGAGAGCGGCGACCTGGACACGGATGCGAAGGATGTTATGAGCTTGTTGAGTAAGTATGCGGTTTGAATATCTCTCGTTGCATATGACGATGTCTCGGACACCGCAGTGAAAAGCAACGCCAATGCTGAGAGTGAGCTGCATCTCACGGACGATGAGTTGGTGGCTTCTACGTCGTTCGTGTTCTCTTTTCTCCACGGGGGGTTTGTGTTCAATTTCGTTCTGCAGCATGATTATTTTCGCGGGAACCGACACCACTTCGGCTGCATTGAACAGGGTGTTTTATCTCCTCGCGAGGGCACCCTGACCTTCAAGATAAGCTACGGGCGGAGATCATTGCTGCACCAGAGCGCCTGGCTTACAGTACGCTCGTTGAGCTCCCGTGCTTGGACGCAGTCATCCATGAAGTCTTGCGACTGTGAGTGTTTCCACACGGCCGGAGTCCATTGATCATAATTTAAATCTACAGATATCCTCCCGTTTCTCCCGCCTTGTTCCGCGAGTATGTACCGGCCCTGTTCCCATCCTTGTCTGATGTAAATTCCTAGGGCGGTTCATGACACCGTTCTCCCGCTCAGCAGCCCTATTATCGGCGTCGATGGGATAGCTCTGCACTCAATTGCGGTGCCCAAGGGGACGTCCATCTACCTCGCAACCGCTGCGGCAAACCGGAACAAGCGGGTCTGGGGCGAGGACGCTTTGGAATTCAAACCCGAGCGGTGGGACAATGGTAAAGCGGACTCGACAAAAACGTGCGGCGTCTACGGGAACACCATGACTTTCCTAGGTGGCGCGAGAAGCTGCATGTGAGTAGCTCGAAATTACTCACGGAAAACAACGCTCTAAGTTTAAATACAGTGGATTTAAATTCGCGCAGCTTGAGCTGAGTGAGTCCTTCCTTCCCAAACCGGGTGATATCCACGCTGAAATGAAACTTGAACGAAACTGTGACTAGAGGTCATAACCTGCGTCCTCCTACGCGCCTTTAGGTTTTCGAACCCGGATCCTCGTGTCCAATGCAAAAGCCGGGCGTCATTCCGTCCCCAAGGATCGATAATCGACAGGAGCTTCCGATACTTGTAGAAAGACTATTGGAACCGGTGTAGCGTCACATCTTCAATAGCTCTACCTTCAAATTTGCTCATGCTTCCATACTCCAATACTCCATACTCCGTGCTCGACTCGTCGAGCAGTCGAACCAGAGAATTTATGATTTACGATTCAGACAGAGAAATTGAACCAGACCTGAAATACCTGGATGAATTCGACAGTTTCTGTAATCTATCCACCTACCTACCATTGATTTTCTGTGCAATTAGACGCCCAGGCGCTAATCGGCAACATAACATAGGCAGGCTGAAACATAAGGGGAGCACACAGCCACTCGGCAAAAACCCGCTCTTCCACCTAATATTGCCACCGCCGCCGATAATGCCCATGCTGCTCTCGCCCTCCCCCTCCGAGACCGAGTCCGAAACGGACGACCCGACCCTCCTCCTCGCCGCCGGGACGCAATCACGCTTGCGCCGCCGGCCCGCCGTCGCTGTCCACGCGCGCCTCTTGCCCGACAGCAGCGCGCCAGGAACGGCGATTTTCTGTGGGGCCGAGCACCACACCGACCCTGCGACGGACGACTGGTGGACGCCCGGCGACCCGCCCTAATCCCTTTCCTCCCTTTACCGCTCGACGAAGATCGGGCGCCGCCCATGTCGCAGACACGCACACCACGCACGTCGACGGGCTGCGGTGCCCGTGTGCACACCGCTGCACACGCCGCGCGGGGCGGGGCGCAACTGGGTGGGCTATCCCGAGCACGCGGAGCGCACGGTTGTACGGCTCGAGAGCCAGTATTTTGCGGAGACAGACAGAGTCGCGTTGGGGCTCGACGTCGCGGGCTGTGGGTGTGTCGTCGAGGGCGTTGGATGCGCGGTCTGGTGAGCCATGTCCATTCTCCCCTTGCTTGTCCCTCTACTGTCTAGCATTTCCAACATTGTGTAATATGTACGTACTGACCGAGTCGCGAATATAGCGGGAACGCTCTGGGTGCGCTGCACATGCCGTGTCGTGTCCACCAGCCTCGCAAAGGCCAGGCACACTACGTCTTCCTCTCCGCCGCGGTTTCGCCCCCGAAAAAAGATGCGGAGACTTCGCAGTGCGTATTCTGCCCCCTCCCTTTTTTCTCCGATCATCCTCCGTTCCCTACCAATTCAAATAAATATTCAGTCTGTCATCCACAGACCCTCCCCTTCCGTCTCCGCCTCCACCTCGGCATGGACCGTCCCTGCCGCGTGGAACGACGAAAACACGCCCCCAATCGCGCGCTGGACGACGAGGGCACGCCCGGGTGGTACGAGCGCACCTGGCGCACGCACATGCTCCGCGCGGGCGTCCCCCAGCCGGGTCACCCGCGCCCACGGACGCCGCCCACGCGCACGGCGTCCCGCACGCCCGATGTCGTGCGCATCGAGGCGCAGCTGGCGGCGTTCCGCCAGGTAATGGAGGCGGCGAATATGCTAGACGGGCAACGTGCTGCCAGTGGGAGGTGGGTTTTGTTCTTGGCTGTATCCATATCTTATGCTGAGCACTGTCTTATTCTAGCACCCCACCCGCCGCGACGACGAGCGCACCCGAGCCGGGAGAGGAAGGGCAACGGTCTGCACTTTCTTCATTTACTTCATACACACGCTGATCCTCCTGGTTTCAGAATGGACGTAGACGACGATTCGGGCAGCACCGAATGGCCTGCCGTCACTGCACCCGCTGTGACCCCATCTCCCGCGGAAGCTCAGTCCGTCCCGACGGTTCCAGTACCTCAATCCGCCCCGACAATGCCTCCAGTACCGGTGGCGCCGCCAGAACCGACCGTCGTACGAAGCGACCCTGACGCAGAGCTGGATTCGTGGTTGACCGAACCGCTGTTGTGCGTGTCCTCCCCTTTCCCGTTTGTTTCCTGTCTTTCCTTCCCTGGTGTCTTCCCAGCTTTCCTTCCTTCCTTCCCTTCCTCGTGTCCCGTGCCTTGATCTATATTGATATTGGTATTAATACTCCCCCAGCACCACCGACCCGCTCCCACCCCCGCCACAGCTCGAGCCGATCGTCTTCTCCACCCCGCCACTGTGCGTGTCGCTTCTATTCTCGCCTTCGCAGCCATCATGATTTCCTTACCTTATTTCTTTTTTAGGACGGCGGGCGTTAGTGTCGGACAGAGGGAGACCGCGCGGGCGGCGAACGAGCGCGCGCAGGCGCGGATTGCGGCGCTGTTTGCGCATCGGTGGGAGGCGTGCGTGTTTTACCCTCTTCCCCCCTTGCCCGTTTCCCCCGCACAACGCGAGATTTGAGTACTGACCCTATCGTACAGTGCGTCAAACGACCTCCTCCAGGCATCGAACGCGGCGCTGCCCTCGCCCCCACCGCTGAGCCGGACGACGCCCACTTCTGCTGCTGGTGCAGGCGCCCCACGCAGCCTGCGCCGCACCTCCGCGCGCGCGGACCTGCAGCACGCGCACGCCGCAGTGGGGGTGGGGGCGGCGACGTCGCGCGCGCAGCTCGTGGGGCGGAGGCGGATGACGTCGAGCCAGGCCAATGCCTCGACCAGCACCCCGCCGCCCGCGCCGCCGCCGGCCCCGAGGCGCTTCCCGAGCGTGCGCGAGCAGGAGGCGTGGCTTGCAGGGGAGACGGGTGCGGGGCGACGCCCGCTGCGGCGCGCGTCGGTGCCTGATTTGCGGCGCCGCGCCAGCACGGCGAGTGGTGGAGTGGGGGTCGGCGCCGGGGCGATCTCGGGGGAGGTTGTGATGCGCCGCTGGCGTCGGGGGCAGGGGCGGCTGGATTTGGAGCCGGACCCGTCGTCGTCCTCTTGGCGGTGGGGACGGCGAGGGACGTGGATATGGACGGGAACGGGAATGGGAATAGCGCAGAAGGGGACTCGGACGGGGAGACCGTACGCGGTGGTGGGAGTGCGAATGGGCAGGCGCCGCAGCCGTACACGGGCCCGCCCCTGGGAGCCGAGGCGCGCTTCACCATTGCGCGCGCCCGCGACCGGACATTAAGCCGGGAGCGCCATCGGGCGGAGCTAATGCGGGTTTTGGGGCCGCCGCGGAGTGGGAGCTTTACGGATTTGTCGTCGGGCCCGCGACCTGCGAGCGCGGGGGTGGCTGCGGAGGCGCCACGGCCTGCAGTCACGCGGAGGCGGACGTGGTTCGAGCGCTGAGGTCGATGGACGAAATGCGTGGATGCCTGGGTCGATGGATGGATGGGTGATATATGGATGAGATGTTATGGGTTAGACGCTGCAACGACTGGGACTAGGTCCCCAACTCGCTAGCATGCATGCTCTCGCGCTTTCTGGAGTGGATCTAATTATTGTATTGCTGAACGTCGTGTATCGTATGACTCGCTTTGACCTTTGTAATATTCACCTCGGGTTCTGGTCTTCTTTCACGAGAGGTTTTTAATTGTCTTCTCCGTGCAGATGCATGGCGTCCATTCTCCAACTTTCGGGGACTTGGCATAGGTTCACTGGAGGTAGTACTCACCGACTCGGATGAGGCCCGAGGCGCAGCCGTAGAAATTTGAAATCTGGTTGTCTGCACAGGTATTCTGGTTCGTAGTTGGAAGTAAGAGTGGTCTTGATTTGGCCTCGGATTGAGCAAAAGCAAGTCGAAAGAACACATTGCGGATAAGCCCGAAGCCCCAGGTAAGCACACAAAAAGCATATGTCCAGGGCCAGAATCGAACTGACGTCAATCGCGCCACAAGCGAGCATACTAACCACTATACTACCTAGACGGCACCCTTATCATTACTAGCAAGCAGAGCATCCTCGATGGCTACTTCAGTCACGAAGCACAAGCTTGAACATGCTTCCCAAATGATTGCCCACTGCCATTGTTACCGCCCTATTAGCGGGCCACGATGTGTTTTCGCTGTGAAATCAAATTCGTTCCTGAAACACGCCCTCCCTGCCATTACCTCCTCCGCTCCTGAGGCTTTTCATAGCCCCGGTATCGCTCTGTCAGACTCTCTCAAGTTAAACAGGCGAATAATGGATATTTAACATACTGTTCTCTGTAAGTTAGAAAATATTATTGAGCTGTATTATGGTATGGTAACAGGAGCGCAAGATAAGTAGTGCCAGGCGCGAAATACTTACACCACATCTATGGGATACATATGCATTTGGACAAACACTATGACAAGTGGATGGACCCTAGTCCGCCACCGACAAGACCGCATAGGTAACCCGCATGTCGACGAAACAGCGGTCTGTCGTATGTGTCAATGCATTTGCTGGAGCTTCATATGGCACGCACCAATAAGTGGGCTATACGCTGCAAGGCAAGCCATCGCGCCCATCAGCGTCCCCAAGCGCATCTCAAGCTCATGTACCTGTGACTCCTGCGCCGGGGACCCTCGCCGCCCTGCCATGAGTGTGCTGCCCAATGGCCAAGATCTCGTCGATGTACACGCCCGCGACAGCCGCGTAAATCGGCCCCACACGGCATCCGTGTTCCGTGCACCGTCGAGGATGCTCACGGCGCCGACCCCGACAACAACGCGCGTCGCAGCCGCGAGACACTTGGCACGCGCGGAGTCGGAGGTGCGCATGTGCGGGGCGTTGAGGCGCACGATGGCGAGGTCTACCAGGGCGTGCGTGAGGACAAGGATTTGTACACCAGTTGAGAGAGGAGGAAGCGCGACTTCGAAGGTGTGTAAACGGCGGTCGAGGGATGCAAGCGCAGTGGGGTCGGGTGGGCCTGTGAACGCGGTGTGAGGATAGAAAGATGCAATGGTACAAATGAAAGAGCTACAAACTGCGCCGAACGTATCAAATGAAGATTTACGCCGAGAGCAATCGACGCTGCCGCAGATGCATGATAGCGACCTCGGACGGGGTCCGCGATGTGGTCTTGTGATAAGATCAAAGGATGGTTCCTTGAAAAGCATTCAGCACCGGGAGGTAGTCGCGGAAGGGAAGAGGAATTACCGGCATATTTGCTGGACTTGCTCCCTGCGTCAAATTTAGGAAGTTCAGGTCTGTTACATAGATGAGTGAAGCATGGAAAGAGCCCGAGAGACAAAAATGTACCGGGAAGGTCCGGAGAACTGCCTTGCGACCGCGATGAGTATGGTGTGTTGAGATAAATGCGGGTGGGATCAGGATTGAGGTATTCGAGTTCCTCTACCCGAATCCTCAGCGCATTGATGGTCTGAACCATCTGGGCGGGAGATTCCTCTGGGGGAGGCGAACCGACGAGATGTGGGTAGCGACATGGTTCCTTGGATCGGGGAGGGCGGAGGTGGCATTGACTACAAAGAGGACGGCCCCCATCACATTTCTGCAAGATGAAAGCATAAGTACGGTTTGGCGAGGAACCAGATTGGGACATGCAATTTTCCGTCGCCTGCCAGAGTCTAATCAGATTTGTTTTTCTCGGGGGCGGTATGTTGGTTACCCGCAATTTGAACATGCCTTGGGCCCCGAACGAAATTGAGGACGAGAGGACTCGGTATAACCTGCAAAAGAATCGGTCATTGAAAATACTCGGAGAAAACTGCTGGGTGAGACAGATCAACCGCAGATCCTACGTACTTATATTCCACTGCGGTCATGTATTGTAACCACAGCGTCGCACCGGTGCCCAAATTGCACCTCTATCGTTTTTCGAGTCATGGCTGCGGTAAAAGGAGCCATTTGCCGCCTCGGCCCATCACCGAGCTCGCTTCCGGCGACCTAAGAGTTTGAATGCCCTCCGCGATTGGTCCGTGATTCAACAATCGGTGTAGCCGAGTTTGAATACAGTGTAGCTGCCTTCAGAACAGCCTATAACTCGTTGCAAAATTTTTTGCGGCGCGGGAAAGCTGCAATCCATGCTCAATTATCCGAGTCGCCATGTGCGGCCTTGCACGTGCACCGTGACTGCGCACTGCGCAACACTTCGGGAAGTTCAACCACCGACACGGATGGCGGCCCCAACGTCAATCTAATACACCGCAAATGTTAGCCGCCCGGGCCTTCGAATCCCATCTCGTCCACCGCACCGTGAAACCCATGGTCCCGCCCAGTCACGTTGGATCTGGCGCAGACGTCGGGGGCTCTAGTCGGAACTGAGATTGTCTCGCGGCAAGGTTCTTCACCAAACCTCTTCATTAGACAGTTAGACAGTCGAGATTGTGACTCGCTTGCCAGAGCATCAGGGCGATCCATTAAATTTATTCGCTAGACAGTTGGGATTGCGACTCGCGCACTATACTTGCCCGAGTATCAGGGCGATCCATTTTGGTTCCTGCAAATCCTGGGATCCTCGATAGGATATATGTTTTGGGGCTTGAGAGAAATACGATAATGCATAAAAAAATCGGGGAGAATCTCTGGAGAGGCGCAAGACTTGGAGTGAGCTATCATTCAGTTCATTGCCACGATGCCCCAATTCCTGGAAGTTAGCAGCGGCGTCGTTGAGGCAGGTCAAGACCTTGTCCAACTTTTGCGGAGGAATCGAAGCCTAGCCCGAAATTTCTTAGAACCATCACGGCCGCGTGGGCAGGTTCGCGGGTTTGGAGCTCATGGTGGGGGTCCGACATCTTCGCATTTCATGCCTTTTCGGATGCAGCAATGTTTAAAAGGAAGTGTTCGAGCTACGCACTGGCTGATGGAAGTCCGGTACCCAACCTCACCCTCGTGAGATCAATACGTGTGGGAAGCACCAGTCATAATTGTTTAGGGCAAGGTTGATATTGTTGATATGAGCCTCTCTCAAGCGAACTAAATGAAACGAAAACGGTGGGCGAACCGATGTATATCATATTGTGATTAGCAAACTCTGAGCCGGGGGACCCGCCCATTCACCATCTCATCGCGACTCAGATGTGTTCCGAATGTGCTCGAACATTCATTTCCTTATCTGCATACTTGCTTGGATGGACGGAGAACATTCTGGAATTGGAAATAGTACAAACTTCAACATATCTGCTTCATGTTGCAAAGATCGCCAAAGAAAATCAACCCAAAAAATTGAATCCCAACACCGGGACCAGTCGTCAAGCACGCGCGTGAGTTTCCCGTCCCATGCACCCACCCAAGGAATACCAGAATGACCCACCACCCGATGAAACCAACCGCTGTCATTAAATAAATACACATAATGCGGCGAATAAAACATGTATGGCTTGACATGCAAACCATGCGGCCTAGCGTCGTATTCTTGCCAGTCCTCTCCAAACCCTATCACTGCCGTCCAACGCGTGCCGAAACCGCCGGACGAACGATCCCCCTAACCTCCCTAGTCCGCTCGGGCCAAACTCCTTCGCGTCGAGCACATCCGGCACGCGAGGATCGTCCTTCCTTGGAGTAATCGTGTAGTCGCCACTCTGCTTCCACTCCTTTGTGCTGACCCAGACGAGGTGGACCTCCCGCAGCATGGTGTTCTGCTCGAGGAGGAGCAGCACAGCGGCGAGCATCGTCCCGTCCGAGAGGCGGTACGTTTTTGTGAGGCTCAGCTCGCGGAGGTAGGGCAGCTCGCGCAGCGCTACAGCGATCACTTTCAACTGTTTCTGCGTGGGGTGAGTTCATGTGGACTTCACAATGGTGCGCACGTACCATGTTGCAGGGTGTACGGTATGAGATGGCGAGAGACTCGAGGAGGCAACATGCGGACGTGATGCTGAAGACCAAAGATATGTCGCCTGCGTCGGCCAATGTGATGGTGAGGCTCGTGAGAAAGGTGAGCCGCCCGACGGTGCTTGCAAGCGGATTCCGCGCTGGTTCGTCCAGTAGCACCAAATTCCGCAGGTGTTCGAGGTTTGGAAGGGCGGCCAGGTGCTGGGAGATACCGCCGAAGAATTCCAGGTACGGCAGGGTGCCGGGAGGAAACGCCAAGGGTAGGATATCCGGAACATGAGGAAGGATGCTCAGGGAGGTTATGAGGGGGTGTGCCGCAAGAAAGGGAGCGATTAAGTCGCGTGCTGGATGATCAGGGCACACTTCGATCTGAAGGGCCGACAGATTGTCCCACGTTTTTTGCATCAGGCTCGAAAGCGATCCAAGATTATTGTGCGATGGGCAGAGCTGAAGATTCAGGTGTTCCAGATCGGGACTGTGCAGAAGCATGTCGCAGAATTTCGGTGGGAGGTTCGGCTTGATGAGTGGGAAAGCTGAAGCAGTCCAAATTAGACGAAATGGAGTGTAGATGCTGCTCGTACTACCTTCTGCCTTTTCTTTAACACAGAGCGAAAAGCTGAGTAGATTCCTGAACTTGGAAAGCTGAGAAGCATCAGTTAAGATTCATGCGTTGCTGGAGCAAAGTCACCTCGCTGTCAGGCTCAAACTGTCGGATTTGAGCGGTGTAGGACAGTATCTTGAGTTTGGGGCATCCGGGTTCTATTGCGTAAGGATAGCATTCCTGCAAGCCAAAGACAGTACTGACGATGTCCGGAGAGCTCGCCATACGATCTCTTGGAGCGGATAAATCCCACACCAAGTGAAGGTCTCAAGATTCGTCAACCGCGGTGATATCTTCACAACTGTTGAGGCAACCCTCAGCTCGACCAATTCATCGATTGGCCATGAGAGCCAATCAGGCCCAATCTCTAACTTCTTAACATAGGCCAACCAGTGTGGAGAAGCTGAGAGCAGCTCAAGTTTGGATGAGCACGCGCTGCTGCCACAGAGCAGCGAAACCGCCGCATAGACGTCGGGAAGTAGAAGGGTGCGCATTTCGATGGACTGAACGTGTCAGATAAAAATTTTGCATTATATGAATGGACGTACGCAGCTACTCAAGGCCAGGATA